ACCGGATGTCTTAAACCCGCTCACCGATACCTACCTGAAAAGACCTTTTCGACGTGCCAGGGACGGTCGAGACGCGAAGGACCGGACTCAGAGTAATTTTGTTTGTTAAAATTTTCAAATTTCAAAATTTCCTTACGGAACCTGATTTATACTTTGAAGAAAATTACACAAAGACACAATTATTAGAAGTGTTACACACTCGAAAATTTGACAAACAATATAAAATAGATGCTATGGCGCGAGATCGTGGATTTAGGGTGATTAGTAGACAGCGGATTTCTGTCGGGCTACGTCACGATTATAGGTGGGGACGCGCTGGATCGCCGGGACTCAGTAGCGGGTGATAGATAATCACTGAATTTGAATATCACTTATTCCATAAGTACAATTAACGATTTATTAATCAAACGGCTAAGTAAATGAGAACTGGAATTAACAGCAGAGTGCAACGAAGCAGCGGTATTCTAATCTCAAATAAACGAAGTGCACCCCGTAACTGCAATGAATTCCCATCCCGTACGAGCCGTACCGAGTTTGGCCTTGTCTAGCCCGACCGAAATCCGCTCTCTACAGCACACTTCCGCCGTACCATTGTATATTTAACCCCATCGAACTAATCTGGTCGCAAATGAAAAATAATATAAGAAGGAATAATACGGCACCAAAATTTAGTAGTGCAACAATTGACATAATTAGGGAAGAAGCTTCCAAAATAACTGCCGAAATGTGGGCCAATTGTGTACGACATTCCACAAAAGAAGAAGACCAGTACAGGGCACGGTTGATAACACCGTTAATTATTAATTTAGAAGAGTCGAGTGATGATGACAGTGACTACATCGATCAATAAATAAGCAGTAGTAGTTAATAAGTAAATAGTTGTGCTGTAATAAAAAATGATTGAGTACAAAGTTACTTTGTTTTTACTTAAAATAAAAAACTCGAAAGGCGCAGTTGTCGGTAAATGCAAAACTCAGTCCTGCCCTGTGCTTTTACCAAAAAAGGTCTTTTCAGGTAGGTATCGGTGAGCGGGTTTAAGACATCCGGTTGTGACGGCCTATTGAATTATAATGGGAGTCAAATTGGTGTGAAGTCATAAACGCCAAATATCTTTGAGGATAGTATACCAGATATGGAGTAGATAATGAAGTAATAGCTCGACGGGACATGGAATCTATTTTAAAAGAAAAAATTCGTCCATGTGGATTATATATTCATCCAACCGACAATTATTTAGGTGCCTCTCCAGATGGCATAATTGGCGAAAACACACTTTTAGAGATAAAATGCCCATATGCAGCCAGATTCCAGATCATTAATCAAAAAAAAGTAGACTTTGCAACAATAGTAAATAATAAATTCAAACTCAAACGCAATCATAGCTACTTTTATCAAGTTCAAGGACAACTCTATGTTTCTAATAAAAAAAGTTGCTTCTTTGTTTTTTGGACACCGAAAGGAGAATTCCAGAGACGAAACATTTTATAAAGAAAAAATGCATCAGAAATTAAAAGATTTTTTTTTCAATTTTTATCTAAAGGAATTAATTAAGGATGACCATAAAAGTTAACTTTTTATATTTGGAGTCAGAGAGAATAAGAAATTCTTTATCCTAAATTTTATGTCTGAATTATGTATTGTTTGTTACAGTTATTGTTGTTTGTTTCTTCCCAAGCATAAGCTCGGAAAGTATTGTAATAGGGTCCATCGCACGAATTTCTAATTTTCTTTTCTCAACGTTTCATGATTTAGGATATGCAAAATCAAATCTTTACACTTTCTCAACAAAGCTACATATGTTACACTTTGCTTTAAGAGCGCGGTAAGTTCTGTCTAAACAAGTTTAGACCAAAGTTTAAATAAATACTATTCTAACAGTTTTATATAAATATATTCACTTTTTACTTAGACTTTTCTGAGTAATAAATGTTTTATTGTTCTTCTTTTCTCTTTTCGGTGTCTAGGAAATGTGACACTTGCAATTAGTGATGTATGTACTCTGTATTTTCAAATAATTTATTGTAATAGTTGTTTTTGTTAATTATTCTGTTAGGTACTTTTATCGATCGAATTCACTTAAATTACAAAAAAATGCATAATTTAAGAAATTAAATGATAAAATTAATGTTTTGATAGATATATTATAATTGTAATTTAATACTCATTGTTTTATTATAACTGGAGTACACAAAATGTTTATATTATTTATTATACTACCTCTGTTCCATAGCAAGGGTTTCATTTGCAATATTACCTATAGATAAAATTTAAAAATTCAGCCTTATCATAAAAACTGTGAAAGGTTGCATTTGTGATTCACGCGGAATTTCGGATGCAGCATGCACAACACTCCACCCTCTTCCAGTGGTCCAGACCAATTTTCATTAAAACCTCGCTAAGCGTCTACCGTTATTTGATGCGGTCGTTTTGAAAGAGCGACAACATTATACCTCCTACACGCACGGAACAACGATAGCAGTAGCAGGCGTTAAGATATTTGAAAAGTGACTAGAGAACACTAGAGAGTGTTTGGACTACGTGAAGAGTTATTTATGCTCAACTGTTGTGTGACAATTCTGAGTGATACCACCTGAAGCACAGATTACATACCCGTAAGGGTATGTAATCTGTGCCTGAAGTATTAAGAACGGTAAGGGGTGTTTACTGGTCGAAGGCAAAAGTTTGGAGACGAAGCGAAGCGACGTCTCCAATTTGTCTGAGACCAGTAAACCCCCTTAACGTTCGTGATGCTTATACTATTTTTTGTACGACCATCAAAAGATTTGCGTCTTTTTAACAAATTCATAAATTGAAAGAATTTATATCAAACATCAACAAGGTCGTTTTTTAATTTAAAATTTGTTACTATGGTTTCGATTAATATAAACAACAATTTTAAAAATCAGTTTCCATTTTGACCGTTGTCGATTTAGATTTGATCTGGCTTGATTTCGAGTTCATTTTCTTTCCGCGACTATTAGTGAGTGATTTATTTGCTTAAAATATCAATCATGAGTGATTCTGAAAGCGAAAATGTCGAAGTCGAACACGCATGGAATTTAAAATGAAAAAAATCTTGAATGCATGATTACTTACCCCTTACCGTTTAGCTGAACAGTAAGTAATTTACTTACCGTTCGCCTCTTATAGTTGTTAGTCGTAGCAACCCGTAAACTGAACTTACTGCTATGGAAACCTATACGGGAAATGATCGAAAAAGCGATTGTCGTACAAAATGGTATATTACATATCGAGGGTGGTAAGGAGCTAATTACGAACGAAGTTTATACACGAGCGAGCGTAGCGAGCGAGTGATGTAATATGAGTTCGTAATTAGCTTACCACCAGAGTTGTATAATATACTGTTTCTACGATCTATAATGAAGAATCACTTTCAGAAGAAATTTTTTTGGGAAAGCAAATGTTTATAGTTGCTATGGAAACTATTCAAACAGGCACGTAATATATATATATATATATTTATGGCTAACTATCAAAGAGAGGACTCGCTGTGGACCATACTAAATGAGGACCTATAGAAAAAAGGAAACTAGAGCCGTCAAAGTGTTGGTATAACTTTTATTGGTTAGATGGCGCTAAGGGAGGCACCAATATACACGTGGAAAATGAAAGGCGGCAAAATTTGTTTTTACGAGTATATTATCACAAAGTGAGGACTGCACCATTCTTCTGTTAATGTGAGAACCGTATATTTCGTTACTCAGTGCAGACACTGTGAGGACCTTTACACATGTATAAAATCATGAACATGCTAAAGTAAGGTCCACACCATGTTGCCATGTTTTCTGAGTTAAGATTTTCCGTATCACACGTTTCTAGACATAACAAACGAATAACGCTTTCATTTTTACGCGCTGGGTTGAAGTGTTGTGTTCGTAAATTGGGAATTGAAATTATCAAAATAAAGGTAAGTATGGTAAAACTGTAAATAACGTACCCTTGAAACAAATTTGTTCGAACATTGTTTGTTGAATGGTATATTTTTATTTCCCAAGCCTAAGCTTTAAGGAAGCTTATCCTCGAGATCATTTCACAAATGCTGTGTCTCTAGATTCCGCCTGTCTATTTGTCGTTTCTTGTGTCGGCGATTTTATTATGCAAGTATGTTTGTTAACTACTGGACTGATTATTATAAAATTCTAAATATACTTTATTAGTATTGCCCCGCAGATTGTAAAACACTATCCAAAATTTGCTATGTAAGTTCTGTTTAAAATTTGCAAAATAAAATATTTCAGATGTTCTTGTGAATTAAAGAAAATATTTTTTTTAATGTATTTTATCAATTTATCTTTACTTTTGAAATTGGACATGTGGAGGTTCATTAATACATTCATTATTTTAATCTTACATATGCGGATTTCCGAAAAAAACGTAAAATTTTACATAAGGCTTGTAATGGGAGTATAACGTTAGTCTGCGTTAATTTGATTTTCTTCAAAAAGAATGAAATGTACAAAACTGCATGATTCTTAGGATAGAAAAATTAACAGATAATACACTAAAACAAATAAAATAGTAAGTTATTCTTCTTATTAAAATTAATAACTGTTTAAAAAACATGTACCAACGTCCATTGGTTTTGAATTGCACTTTATATTTCACAGTGTATTGGGCGATAAATTACTTATTTTTGGAGATATCAATATGAGTCAGAACAATCCTCATCGTTGCAAAGATCAAGGATGCCCTTGTGAATCCTGGATTTTATGATTTCACACCGCTTTAATCAAGGTTTATAATTTCACAGTTAAATATTGGCGCCGCTTGTCTGGATGGAATATCTTTGTCCAGTTTTATAATTTCATAGTTTAAATTTGTTAATAATAGCACTTTTGCCAATTAAAATATTAATATTAAACTTAATTAAACCTTATATGGCGGAAATACGAATACTTTTATGACTCCCCAAATAGACTGGTAACTGGTAAATAATTTTGCAAAAACATCTCCTTTGGAGGGATCCTCACTTACAAAAGATGAAAAGATTCATGAGAGATCAGAGTCCCCTAACTAGTTGCCAGCCCAATGTGTGTTTTTGTTGTTACATAAGGGGTAAGTGTTGATATCTCTGAAATGTGCATGATTTCATAAACAGTTTTTTTATTTTTAAAATTGAGTTGAATGGATCATGTTTTGAGTTTCATATTTTTGAAATTAATTTGCATTAAAATTATTGGTTAAATGGTAATATTGTTTCGATGAACGCTGACTACGTAGCTCCTATAGTGTTCTTTACCTTTTTAGTGTTATGTAACATTCTCATTTTATATATATTTTTCAATGTTTGTTTGTTTTATTTTTCAAAGATTTTATTTCATACCTATAACGTTTTCTTGAATTTACCAAAAAGGTTTAATAGTAAAGTACATTTCTGTTAATTATAATTGTATGATAACTCCAAACTAAATTCCTTTCGTAAATACGTAGTCATTTCCATATTAAATATAATTATTCATTAGTTAGTATTTTCTATGTCCAGTCACTAGAATGTGTTACCATCATCACGAACCAACCTATCAACAAACAAATAATATTTTCATTATATGTCGGGCACGAGGACCACGACAAGAGTTTCACATTTGATGAAGTAAAAAAAAGTTAAATTTAAAAATCTCCCAAGCCCGTTACAACAGGCAAGGGAAATTCTGTTTAAGTATCATTTGAACAATTTTTTGCCATCATTCGACAAAGCTAAATGCATTTGTGTAATGTATGATACGAATAGTCTACATATTGATAATCTTGTTTTGTAGTTAGAATGAATAGAACACGGAAAATATTATTGAGGGCCAAAGCTACTTTGAAGGCTGATGCTAGTACTTTGGATTTACTGGAAATCCCAAAATATGAAAGTACGAAAGGACTAGATCAAAATGAAATAACCATACTTCTTTCCAGTGAGTACTGCACATAAGTTATACCTATTGGCATCATAATTTTTTAGATCGCCACAAGTTATTTAAAGAAGTTATATCAACTGTTGGTGAAGAAGTTACATCAACTGTTGATGATGAAACCGAACCCTATGAAGACAGCGGCGATGAATACATTCCAGATTCTGAAGAGACATGTTCCGACAGCGATTCTGAATTTCAAAACTTTATAAAGTTTCCACCACGTGTTTTACGAGATCGCCAGTCTGATATGGAGGAACAAAAACAAAATGCGTTGAATGGAGGGAACAGAAATAAGAAGAATGTAATCAACAAAAATACAGGAAGGAAGACACATGTATTAACTAATTTAGACCAACCAAGTACATCTACATATATAAGTAAGTATTGCCAAAAATTTTAAAAGGAATAACATATTTTTATTATAAATTTATAAATATTGTCTTTGAGTCGATAAGACTATAAGCATCAGTTTAATATTTACAAAAAATATAACATTATGTGAAAAGAAGTAGATATTTCTTACCATGGGAGACGATAAAGAACAATAATACAAATTGTGAAATAGTAACAGTTAAGATTAATGTATTAATTTCATGTCTCCCCAAAGCAGTTGTCTCTACTATAAATAATGCTCCATGTTCGGATGGGGTTTTTATAAATACCTACTTTAGATATTTCGTTGTTCTTCAAGTTTTATTGAGACTTGAATACATCCCTACTGTGTGAATGAAAGTTTATACTTTTTTAGATTGTCCAATATCGTTTAATGAAGTCACAACAACTACTAATGAAACTGATACGTACGAAGATCGTGATGCTGAAAATGTTCCAAATTTTGAAGATACATTTTTTGACAATAATGAATTCGATCAGGCAAATCAAAATTTAGACAAAGGAGAGGTGTGTTTCATTGTTATAAATAGTTTAATTTAAAATATCTATGAATATCTATCTATTACTAGGCACCTAATTCGAGAAAGAAACGTGTATGGAATAAAAAAGATAATTGCTTTTTTTGCGATACAGAGGTCATGAAGTTTTCGCGACATGTTATAGCAAAAGAAGAAAAGATCTCTTTACCAAGCTGAGAAACAAAGGAAATTTTTTGAAAAGTGCTGTTGGTAAAAATGTGGTACCAGTAAGGAAGCCTACATTGGATAGTTTAGAGCAACTCTCTACCACCGCATACCTTCCATGTAAGCATTGCAAAGGATTTTATAAGAAAAAATTTCTTTACAGACATGTGAAAAAATGTCCGCATAATAACGATGATAAAACCATAAGAACCAATGCCCAAAGTGAGGGTCAATCTTTGTTTGCTGCTTACAGAGAGAATGATATTTTGCGAAAAGAAGTATTTCCAACGATGAGACCAGATGAGATATCGTTTACAGCGAAAACAGATCCTTTAATATGTGCTGTAGCTAGGAGGTATTTGAAAAGCCATCGTGACAAACAATTCCGATTAGTTGCCTCACGCAAAATGAGACAACTAGCCTCCTTACTTATAGAAATAAAAAAAAAGATTAACGTTAAAAGTTTATTCCAAGCACTAGATCCATTAAATTTCGATATTCTTGTTCAGTGCACTAAAATAATCTCCCGATATGACGCCGAAACGGACTCTTATGGTGCTCCATCACTAGCATCTCACATGGGAACGGAATTAAAAGACTGCATTGACGTGGCTTACAACATGTCACTTAAAAAATATAAAGCAGAAACAAATGATGCAAATAATTTAAAAATTTTGAAAGAATTAATTGTTAATGAGTGGCGGTTCGAGGTATCCACCATAGCTAACAGTGACTTACAACAAAAAAAGTGGAACAAACCCTCACTTATTCCATTAGCCGAAGATCTTACTTTGTTAAAAGCATACCTACTTGCTGAAAGCGGCAAATGTAGAAATACCCTCGCGGAGTATCCAGAAAATGAAAAAGCTTTCAAAACTTTAACTGAATTAACCTATGTGCAACTGCTTCTCCTAAATAGAAGAAGGGTTGGCGAATTACAAAGAATGACCGTAACTTCTTATACTGCTAATATAAATAACAAAAGTACAAATGAATTCGATAGCTGTATCACTGAAAGTGAAAAAGTCCTGATGAAATCCTTCAAAAGAGTTGTAATAAGGGGAAAACGAGGTCGAGGAGTTCCGGTTCTGTTTACGGAAGACATGGTCAGAAATACAGATTTACTTTTGCAAGTCCGGAAACATTTTATGCGGCACAAAAATGAATATTTATTTGCAAATACAAAATCCTCTAGTAGTATCAATGGAACGAAGGCAATTTACAAGCATGTAAGGCTTGCCGGTGTAAAAAATCCGGCTGCTTTGACGTCGACTAAATTAAGAAAGCACCTCGCAACGATGTCTCAAGTAATTAATTTGTCTGAACAAGATTTGGAGCAATTAGCAAATTTCATGGGACACACGTCTGAAATACACAAAACTTACTATAGGTTACCTAGCGATGTGTATCAAATGGCCAAAGTGTCAAAATTACTTCTACTTAATGAAAAAGGTGAAGCTTCGAAATATAAAGGGCAACGCTTAGACGACATCAACATCAATTTAGACATAGTAGAAGAGTCAGATGGCGACAGTGAAGGTGATGACTTCAATGAACAAAACATAAGAGGCGAGATTGATAAGAACAACGTGAGTATTATAGGTATTTCTTATTATTTCACAATATTTTAATGTTTTTCCTGTAATTTAAAGAAGGAACCCACTTCATCTAAGAAAAATTCTATGTATGTTTCCCAAACGAAAAAGAAACGTACGCTAGAGCCCTGGACGGATAGTCAAAAAGAAGTGGTATTAAGCTATTTCAAAAATCACCTGAAGAAGAAAATTCCACCCAAGAAAAATGAATGTCTCCATTTAAAAAGTGAACATCCCGATTTATTTTCGAATAAATCTTGGGAAAAAATGAAAATCTTTGTTGTAAACAAATATAACCAAAACAAATAAATTTTATTTCAGATTATAAACTTATTTTTACTTCCCGAACGTAAGCGAAGGAAGTATTGTAATCGATTCTATCGGCCGACTCTCTACTTTTACGTTTTCTCGACCTTTCACGACCCTTATAATACGAAGAAATAGGTCTGCCGTTTCCGTCTGTCTGTCCGTTTGTCTGTCCGTCTGTCTGTCTGTCTGTCTGTCTGTCTGTCTGTCTGTCTGTCTGTCTGTCTGTCTGTCTGTGTGTCTGTCTGTCTGTCTGTCTGTCTGTCTGTCTGTCTGTCCATTCGTCTGTCCGTCTACCGTCCCGATTTTTATTAGACAGATAATCCCCGAAAGTACTGAACCGATAGTTGTCAAATTTTGTATTTATATGAGGAATATCATGTAGATGGTAAAACGCTAACCAAAATTTGTCTAATCATCCCCACACATGTAGTTTATGATTCCGTATTGAGTTTTTATGCGAAACGCCCAGATTTTTGGAAAAAAAATCAAAATTATAAAACAACACTTTGCAAATTTAATTTTGAATTTCCAAAACCGAATGATTTGAAATCTTGCAAATGTTTTACAATTATGATACGCATGATAAATGTTTAATCAAAATATTTTTACTTAATAATAATAATAATAATCATATTTTATTTATCCACCAGCTATACAATTACAGGATAAATATATTCCACAATAAACCAAAAGTAAGTAAATTAAATATGAATTATAAAATTGATTCCTAAATAATCCACCCTTCCACAAATCATCTAAAAACTATTTAAAATAACAGATTTTAGTCTGCGTAAATTAATGGTGAAAATGTCAACCTCTGAACATAAATTATTAATACTTCTACACATAGATAATATGTATAGGTGACTGCGCATAAAGGTCCATACTCGCTACAGGTAGATAAAATGTGTCCGTCATCTTACTATTTATTCCTGGGACTAGTAAATTAACCGATGCCAATAAGTATCTACTCATCAGAAATTACATATCTAATTAATTTTATAACAAATACAATTTCATACATAATCCTACGACTGCTTAAAGATATATACGAAAACACTTTCAATAACAAATTAGAAGGATAACTATGTTCAACGAAGCTTCTATACCTCCGATAATACAAGATTTTTAGGTATTTTCACTGTACTCTTTCAACCAAATCAGCATAATTCTTATAGCATGGATTCCAAACAACAGAACATTACTCCAATTTACTACGAATGTGAGCATTATAGAAACTGACAAGGGCTTGATTATTGAGATCACGCGTACTTCTTGTAAGAAAGCCTAAAATGCTGTTACACCGTTTGCACAACGTCTCGACATAACTATTAAATGTTAATTTGGAATCAAATATGACACCAAGAATGTGTCACAACGTTTCAGTGCTTTTTGATTAATTGCATAGTGATAAACAATGGTATTCTGTTTCCTTGAGAAAGTCATGACCCTACACTTGTCTTTGTTTAGTACCAAACTGTTAGGAGTACACCACTGATAAATCATGTTAAGGTCAGTTTGAAGTAACTCACAATCTATTGCAGATTCAATAGTTCGAAAATTTTTAAGTCGTCCGCATAACGTAAACAACAATTACAAGAAAAAAGACTCTGCACTACATCATCAATAAAAACAGAAAACAACAAGGGTCCAAGCACTGACCCCTGTGGAACTCCAGTCGGAAGTTCATATAACCGAGATTTGAAAACTTGATATTAAACATAGTTTTTCCTACCCTGCAGCTAGGAACGAACAAACTGAACCAAATCAGCAGACAAACCAAAGACATGTAGCTTATGTAAAAGCATGTATCGCATCAAAAGCCTTAGAGAAGTCACAGTAAATTATATTAACCAGTAAATGGTTGTCAAGGGGATGTGAAACATAATCCGTAAAAGAACAAAGATTAGTAACAGTAGATTTTCCTTTGACAAATCCGTGTTGTTTGGACGACAGTTGACGAACCATATGGAAGGAAATGGGTTTGTTGTTCTTTAAATTGCTAAGTGCATTACAATTAGGCAGTAGCTCACATGTAGAATTTACAGCAGAATTTCTTTCATACACAGACTCAAAATGTGACAAATGCATCGGAAATATTCTGGGGACTATCAATAATATCACCCTTGATATTTAACATAGAACTTAGAATACGCCTTTGCCCCTTGAGACTGTTTATAAACGACCACCGTTTTTTAGGATCATCTCGAATACAATTAGATACCATCGCAAGATGGTCAGTCTTAATACTTGATTTTACAAGTTTGCGATAATTCTTAAATTTAACACAATAAATAATATTAGACTTGGTAAACCTCCATATTTTCAAATAATGTTTCTTAACTCTTATGACTCGCCTAGTTTTTGAAAAAAACCAAACTGGAAATGAATATTCACGTTTACAGATAACTGGTACAGTTAGATTTAAATAAGAATTCAATATGGCATAGAATGTGTGCAGGCCAGGCATTCTCAATATTATTACATTTGAAAACCGGAGTCCAATCAGTACTAAGAATAAGACTAACAATTCATTAAAATTACATCTCTTAAAATTATATGATGTAGAATTAGATACTACAAAAGGTTTAAATCTCCCAGATGGGTATTGAATATCAAATAACAATGCAGGATGCTGAGTCTTCTCGTACTAAGGTAATTTCTGAGTGGCTTAAACATCTGTTATTAACATTTTTCACCTCACTAATTTGTACAGCACCAACAGAACTAATAAAATTTACGATACTAAGAGATTTAGAACAAGCTAGCTCATTCAACAGTGGAGCGTTGAAATCATCCGCAAAAATAAACTTATCATTAATAAAACAAATCACTTAATTTTAGCTTATGAACTTGATGCTCATATACCAAGGATGGGGTAGATGAAGGAACAATAACAATAACTACGAAATTCAGTCCTCTAAAGTGCAATCGTCAACAAATAACATCAACTTTGTAATCATTCAAAATCAGTTTCAAATTCAATTGACTTACAACCAAACCTCGATTTTACACCACCACCGATACCTGAGCCACGATCACACCTAAAAACTTAATAATCAACTGGAAACAATTCAGAGTTTAGTATATCATCATTAGCCCATGTTTCTGAAAAATAATACCCAGGTCATCACCAGCTAGAACATTTTCATAAAACTCATGAGTTTTACTCCTTATACCCTGCACATTCTGATAATAACATCTTATAGAAACAAAGTCAAACGGTTGGATAGTTACAGTTTTTTTGCAACAACTATCTGAGGCATACCATTCGAGTATTTAAAAATAGTATATTATTAGCCAAGGTTGCAGAGCCAAGCATTCTAGACCGAGCGCAAATTAGAACCCGAGACGCGCAGCGTCGAGGGCTCTGAAGCGCGAGGTCTAGAAGTGGCTTTGCAACCGTGGTTAATATACTATTTTTTTCACTAGTAGAAACCGTAAGACAACAAACTGAAAAAATAAACGTTCAATTTTTTGACGCAACATGATTTTGTTTTGATTTCTAATCAAACTTAATCTAAATCTTCAACACAAAGAAAACCATTTATACTTGTCGCTGAGTTAATCATTTTATCTTCTACCGTCTACCAACTACCGTGCGTATACTAAAGTAATGTTTGTAGCACACATTTGTTCATTTTTTAAGAAATAATCACATCAAACATTGCGTACATAACCTCAATTTTTCTTTTTGAACCGGTGGTCGCAAAAGTTGAATTTGCTACCTCTAAATGAGTCGACATTTGCATGCTTGATGGCTGCTAGTGAAAAAAATATATTTTCCTCCTTAGCCGTCCTATCATGAAAGTCCGTGATAATTTTTCTCTTCAAACCAAGTTGCCTCATTGTTAAATCTTTATTGATAAATAGTTTGAGGTTGCGCACAAAATTTTTAGATTTTTGTTTTCTTTAATACCAATCCCACATCATCCTTAGAATTTAACACTGTCCTTAAAGGTCGAATTTTATTGTCAGACCTATCTTTCCCTAATCTAAAAATCCCAATTTTGCCAGTATCGACTTTAACATCTAAATGTTTAAAAATATCATTCACCAAGTTTAAATCACCGGCAGCTCACTCAGGTTCATTCAAATTAAAGATAATAATATTTTTTCTTTGGCATTACGCTCATCAATCTCGCCCCGAACATCATCCATAGTAAAAGAGTCATTATTACAAATACGAGGTCGATTACTTTGTGAGGACAGCAATACTTTAAACTCACTCATTTGTTTCTGAAGCCATTCAATGACACTAGTAAGACCGAGAATTTGCCCAGCAACATCAATCGTAGAACAGGCAGTGCAGTTTATATTCTTTTTAGATCTGAGGACACGAGTGTCTTTTTCATTTAAGTTCGCACAATTATTACTTATTCCCTCCAACAAATTCATGACGTCAGCTCACAATTTTGCCGAATAAATCCTATCTAAATTGTGTAAAAAATGATGAACCTGTCCTTGTAATTTACCATTCCTTTCATATTTTTTGGATTTGCGTATACAGGCTGACTCAAAAAAATTAATGAATACGTGAATTTATTTTATTGATTTAATCAGGAACTACGAAACCGAATGCTTTGAAATTTTGAAGATGTTTTAAAGTTATCATAAACATGGTAAATTTTTAATCAAAATGTATTTGCTCATCCCCCCCTAAAAAATTGATGACGATACGGGGTGTATCAAAAAAATTAATAACCGAGTCAACTGCCAGTAGGCAACATCATAAGAACGTGTGCGTAAGTACTATACACAAGGTTGCCACATTTACGGTCCTCATTTGGTACCTTGTGATTCCGTTACTGCCGTGCGGTTAGAAAATATACATCAGAGGTAGCGCCTCCAAGCGGAAACATGCCCAACTAATTTATACAGTTTAGATCATTTTTCTCATCAACTGAGGTCCAACTTGTTTTTGTAGAATTTTAATCTATAATGGTGGGATCGACATATAGTAAAATTTGAGTGGTTTAACAAAGTGAGGTCCATATATT